TAATCAGAAAAAAAGCAAAAAATTTGACTCTAAGAGTCGCATTTAAAAAAAGGTAAGCAATGTCAGTGACAGACTTACTCGATCTTGCGTAGTGCTTTTCCGTGGTCACTAGGAGATCCTCCAAGTGCATAAATCCGCACAGCTGCTGGCAAGGAAACGTCGTTGGCATTTTGACCACAAGCGCACACTCATCTTTAAGTGCCTGTCGACGGACACGCACCACGTGCCTGAAAGGCATTTGCAGATAAATTTTAGAAACATCACGCTTTAATTTTTTCACTTTGTGAGTTTTTTCTAGTTTCATTAAAATCTCCATTTTTTAAATTTTATAAATTTCCACAAGGAAGCTGCTGGTCCCTTTTATTTTTCCCAACAAGAAAACAAAACCCTTTCAGGGCGTCTCTGAGCCGGAGCGGGCTCCCCGAACCCTGCGGTGGAGTGGACGACAGCCTGCTCCCTCCACGGTGGAAAGGGTCCAAGAGGTGGACTGCCCTTTCCTCCCAGGCTGCTGTCCACTAGCGCAGCCACTTACACTCTCCTCGCGCCCGCCGCACGCTCCGTGCATTAACCAAAAGGGCAGGCACCCCTCACTCAGGCAGCGGCTCAAAGGGCCGCAGGAGGACGCCAGGGACCAGGGGCAGGAAGGGGGTGCCGCCCGGTGCTGCGAGGATTTAAAACGGCTTTGAACGATGATCTGTGCGGATTTATGTGTTTGCTTATGAGAGCCCGGTAACCAGCCCGCGGCGGGGAAATGGCGCTGTTCCTCCGATGTGTTCCCTGTCCTTTTCCGAGTCGGGAGTCGAGTCGGCCTAAATCATCACAAATGCCGAGCGCTCTCATCAGGAGAGGGGCGTCCTTCCCAGCGGGGACACGTCAGTCACTGCATTTGCATCTCTCGATCAGAAAGGTTATGTAGAAGGAGGCTGCATCCCTAGGATTCCCCCAACCAGGCCAGTGCCTGGAGATCATTATCACAGGCAACAATAGCTGCTTTGAATCCAAACGCTGAAACAGTGTTGCTTCTGGGAAAGGGCTGCTTGTAAACAGCAGGCGCCTAGTGTTTGTGGTCCTGTGTCCTGCCTGGGCCTCTAGGTTGGTGATAAACACAAACAAACCTGAACTGCAGCCGCCCAGGAGGAGCCCAGGGGAACCCGCACCGGCTGCAGAGGGGGGAGGCCTCCGACATCCTGACCTGCAGCGGGAGCGCAGGTCCCCGAGGCTGCGAGGGGTCACACGCAGCTGTCCTGGCGCGTCCCCTGCTGCGGCCTCGCGGGCCTCCCTGGAAAGGCGGGGGGTCCTCCTAGGGCCAGGCCTGTGGGCCTCGCCGGCAGCCGCGGGGCCAGGCGCGCTGGGATGCATGTGCTGTGAACACATAAACATCGGCCCTCTCCACGGCCGTCTCCCCTTCCTCTCTGTCTCGCACATCAATAAAATGTTAATAATAGAAGGAAATGCAAAATCCTTGTTTGAGGGACTCGTGGATGCCCTGATGGTACGTCCTCACACTCCAGGAGATTCCAGTAGCTCCCACTCTCAGCTGCTGTTGCTGCGCCCAGGGGGTGCCGGTCGGTGCCGCCCTGACAGTGTGTGTCCACGTTGCTCTGTGGGGGCTGCTGGCCTCTGTTCCCACTGCCCTGCTGAGCACCCCGCTGGGCAGTGGCTCCTCCCCATCTGCACGGAGAGCCCCGGGCACCGGCTCAGAGATGCCGCAGCCCCGAGAGAAAGCGAGCTGCTGTGGGATCGTAGTCTTTATCGGCGCCACCTGCTTAGACTCGGAATCCTTCTCGGAGGGCACATACCCCGGAGCCCGAGGAGAGGGGGACTCGGCCCTGCCCCCCGGCGACCTCCGTGACCACCGCAGCCCCTGCGTTTCAAATGCATTTTCAGTTCACTTTCAGGGCTACCCCTCCCTCCGTGTTTCCACTGCGGCAAGCACCTCTTCACCAATGGCCTCAGGGGGATGCAAAGGGTCTTATGTCTTCATTTTTAAAAGTTTGGGTTTTTTTTAATTCCTTGAGGACATTCTTGCAAGGACTGTGGCACACAGGCCTCATGCAGGGGGAGGGTTAGGAGAAGAGCTGGTTAGATGTGTGAGCTGGAAACATCACAGAGCAGGGGCTCAGTAGGCAGGGGTGCGGTGAGCAGGGGTGGTGAGCAGGGGCACAGCCAGCAGAGGGGCAGTGAGCAGGGGCGCGGTGAGCAGGGGTGCGATGAGCAGGGCGCGGTGAGCAGGGGCTGTGGGAGGAGGGAGGTGAATTGTGGCTGCTGGGTACCTCCGCCCTGACCCTCGCCGCCCCCGCGCCGGGAGTAAATCGCAGCCTCGCGCTGTCTCTGCCTTTCCTGGGCGGGTTATTAAGCTGCCGGTGTCCTCGCACAGGGCACTGTCCTTCTGCAGATGCCACGCGTGCTGTTCCCCTGATGTGCGCTTTCCCGTTTCCGCGCGAGGATCTGAGCACTCGCTCTGCGTTTCCATGGCGACGGCCCAGGATGCCGGGCTGGGCGCTGGGATAACACTCCTCCTGCGAGGTCACCAGAGAGTCACCTTCACAGCTCCGGCTCCGGGCGGGGCACCAGTCCTGACACCCAGATAGTGGGGGCGGGGGTTAAATCGTTACAAATCATAGAGCACAGGCTGCACTCGGGGGTGTGTTGAGTTCTGGGGACGAGCAGGGACTGAGCCGTGGCTGCTCTTCGGGATGTGAAAACCCGGGAGATGTCTGCAGGAGGAGGCAGCGCCAGCCTCTGGGCAGTGTAAGGCCTGTCTGCCTTCCTCCCCAGCCCAGGTTCCTGCAGGTGTGTGTGGGGGGGGGGGCGCCGCCTGCCGCTGCCCCCTCCTTCCTGGGGTCACGGGGCTCCTCACCCCAATAGACACTCGTCCCAGGCGGCAGCTGTGTGGGACCCCACCTCTTCTAGTCTTACCTCAGCGGGGGGCAGAAAAGGAGCTGCTACTTAGAAATACACATAATTTACTCAGATCTAAGCTGCCACTGGCATCTCAGAAGGGAAATGCCACCAGTTATAACTGCAAGGTGCCATCCCCCGGTGCCACGTCCTGCTATGAGAGGCGTGAAAATGCGGGGAAAGGTGCTGCTTAGAATGAAGGAAACACTGTCATTGTTGGATTAAACCTTTGAATGCTCACCAATTAAAATTAGCCTCATAGGAACCATAGTAGCAGGGATAATAAGCCATGGGTCTAGCAGAACAAAATGTGCAGTGTAATCCATTTATGCTTGTGTGTTTGAGGTATTTGATTTACATAAACAATTGGCAGAGCCACCATTGATGGCCAGCCCACTTTGCTGACGGCTACGTTCTTAAGATCAGTCTTAGGATACTCTGCGGTATTGGGTGCTACCACAGTTTCGAGTCGTTTCTAAGGCCTCAGTCTAAAGGTGGGGTTCCCCCAGGGCTGGGTCCTAGGTCCCCTTCCCCCCAATCTTCTCTACCCACACTCCCTCCGGGGGAGTCTCATCCGCTCGTAACTGATTAAGTATCACCAGAGACTCGACTTCTCCTCTGAACCCCACAATCAGCCCTCTGCCTGCCTCCCTGCCTTCCCCCGGGGTTCTGCTGGGCAACCTCACTTCCTGCGTCCAAGCACAAGTGCTCCATCTTTCTTCTGCCTCAGGCCTCATCACCTGCACACGGGGTCACCCAGACTCTTCTTTCTCATGTCTCATTAAGACATGCTCCCCATCAGCAAATCCTGCGCCCACTCCCTTCACGGCTTCCCAGAACCTGACCCGGCCCCACCCCAGCCAAGCTGCCCCGACTCGTGCCTGGTTATGCAGCAGCCTGACCCCGCTCTCCCTTCCCTCTTTGCGGCTATTCCAACCCCGCCAGAGAGACCAACTCAGAACCTAAGTCAGATCCTGTCCCTCCTCTGCTCAAACCCCGTGAATGGCTTCTCACCCGCTAGTCAAACAGCTGCAGCGCCCACGGGACCTGCCCTGCGAAGTCCCTGCCGTCCTCCAAGCCCTTCTCGCCGGCAGCCAGGCCGCGCCTGGAGGCCTCCCGAGTCCTCCTCCCCGGGACTTGAGCCCCTGCCCCTCTGTCTGGAACCCTCTCCCTGCTCCCGGAGGCTCGTGCTCCGACCCTCTTTAGGGGCTCCCAGCCCCTTCCTCACAGCGGCCTTCCCTGAGGACTGTGGGGTCCCCCCCCGCCCCCCGCTGCCACACTCCTCACCCAGGGACTTGGTTCTACCTGCCGGTGTCCTGGCGTCTCCATCACGCTTTCTGTCGTGCCTTCTCCGGTGGACGTGCCAGGAGGCAGAGGCTGTCTTGCCTTCATTCACACTCTTGTCACTGGTGCCTCCAAGGCCAGCCGCGTGGACAGTGAGTTATATATACTTCCAGGGAGTGAGTGATGGTCGCATTCTATGGTGGTTCTGTGTGATTCATCAGTTCCGTTAGCAGATACTTACGAAGGGTCTAATCAGTAGGGATCTCCATCCTTGAAGTAAGGTGTGTCCCGTTGACATTGGGAGGTTATGCCGACGGGGAGGAAATCCAGTGGAATACTTCCCAGTGTTTTTAATTTTGGGTGATTCTGGAATCAGCCAAATGCTCGAGAGTGCTTGTGAAATACATTGCTTGTGGGTTAGCACAGGAAAGACCTTGTCTAAGTTTAGGATTTTAAGTTGAGAATGTGCTATGATGTCTCTGAGATTAATATTCGCATTCCATGGCATAGATAAGTAAAATGTTTGTTATACCTAATTACTGAGAAACACATCTGTACATTAGTTACAGTGATTGCGATTTTGTTTAGATCAGCGGTTCTCAACCTGTGGGTCGCGACCCCTTTGGGGGTCGAACGACCCTTTCACAGGGGTCGCCTAAGACCATCGGAAAACACATCTATAATTACATATTGTTTTTGTGATGAATCACTATGCTTTAATTATGTTCAATTTGTAACAATGAAATTGGGGGTCACCACCACATGAGGAACTGTATGAAAGGGTCGCGGCGTTAGGAAGGTTGAGAACCGCTGGTTTAGATGTTTACAGGAGCTGAAGAGTTGTTTATCGTCTGGCATCAGCGTTTTTAAAGCGGGCATGTGGCTAATTAACGGCGTGCCGGGGTTTTCTCCTGTGAGAACTGTCACGCGGCATATGCAGCTGGCACATGAGTCACTGCCGGCCTCTCCTTGTCTGATGTCAGGACCCAGCCCTGCAGCCCAGACACTGGGGTTGTTGACAGTTACTCACATGACCTGCTGGTTGAGTCATTTCTCAGTGTGGTGGGTTGGTGCTGAATTCAGCTTGGAGTAGCATACCCATGGCTGCTCAAACAAAGGACCACACAAGCGAACTGAGCACCTTAAAGCTTATGAGATTTCACTGGATAAAACCCAAAATTCAACCCAATAACTCTGGGGGTCTCATTGGCTTTATTCATGAATCGAGCATCATGCACCCAGCAACTACAAGGGCCCTGTGTGTGTGGCGGGCGGGGGGGGGGGGGGGGGGGGGGGGGGGGGGTGGGGGGGGAGTATGGGTGTACAGGTGGAAGGCTTTTATAGGAAGAAGGGTGGGGCAAGGAAGCTATTAGCAAAAGCAAGGAAAGGATGGATACATTTTAATCAATGTCAGCGTATATAATAGCAAAGATTTATTCCCAACAAAATGAGCAAGATTTACAGCTATGAAATGCATGGGAAACTTAGGCTAATGAATTAGGTCAAAATAAATGAACAAAACGCACACCAAAGCATGGGAATTCCAGCGGTAATTTGTGTTACACGAATTCTCACACTCACACAGGAACTAGTGGTGCGCACGGCGTCCGCGGGAAAGGCGCTCTCCGATGAAGGCCAACACGGTGCTCAGCATCACTGGCTTGCCGGCCTGGTTAGGAAGTCAATCCTCCGCTTTTCCTCTGATTATTGGTGTCATGTGAACTTTGAGAAATGAAGAAAAGTTTAGTTTAGTTATTATACCAGGAATTATTCACCGTCTGCAACCTGGGTTTAGCTAACAGTTAACATTTTGGGGTCGTAATCTATTTCCATTTTGCTGCCCGGAATGAAATGCAAAGCACACTGCTCATCCAGTCACTTACGTAGTGGACACCTCGTTAATGAGTGTGTTTTCCATGCCTGCGTTTTCCAAGATGCGGGGCTGCAGGGGGAGGGCAGCGGCCGCTGACCCGAGGAGCCATTGCTGGCTGCCCCGACCCCACTAAGGACTCCTCTGACATCGGCGCCAAGGAAGGTTCCGGAATCAGAGAGGAAAACAAACTCTGCAGCAAGCAGTGGAGAACGTGCTGCAACGGGGACGGCCTGTGGGAAGGAGGAGGGAGGAGGAGGGTGACATGACCACGCAGGCTGGCGAGGCGACAGGTGAAGTCGGGGCCCAGCGTGCAGCCCGCAGGTCGGGGTGACCGGTGGTAACTCAGAGCAGAAAGCGGGGCTGCCGTGTGGGGCGGGGCCTGGTGGCCGGGCGGAGAACGGGGGAGTTGGTCCCACGGTGGGGACTCCGGGTTCTGCCCGTGGGGGTGATGGGCCTGTGAGGCTGCGTCACCGCAGGTCGCTCTGTGGGGGGCGGGGCGCTTGCAGAAGCTCTAGCAGAAAGCTCCCAGGCCCCTCTGCAGCCCCGAGGACAAGCGTTTTGGTGCTGCCATTTCTCCATGGTCCAGACCTTCCCTGTTGTGTTGATCGTGTGGGACAGACCTTTCGGGACGCGTGACAGGAACTGCCAAGGGGTCCTCACTGTCGTCTTTCCCCCTGAAAGGTGGCTGCGAGCTGATCCTGAACGCCCCGCTCTGCCCCGCGGAAGCCACGAGCGGCCCGCACCCAGGGCTGCGG